CAGGGAAGACCTGTTGTTATTGAAGCATGAATTTAATATGTAAGCAGCATATAAAAGTGGACCATTTCATATTAGGAATGGACCCTGTGGCTGGGCAATATTTGAGTTGAGCACCCTTGGAGCTTAGATGGTAGGAGGTCAGTTTATTGTCCACTTTGAGACAATATGTCACAACCCTAAAACTAGTTTTTAAAACTTTAAGTGGAAGCTGAGAGTTCTTTGACTGCCAAGGTGCAAGCTAGCGAAATTATGTCAATTAGGTTCAATGCAAGTGATTTAACTATGCAAGGACTAGTATGCAGATCAAGAACCAGGAACAGAAGAGATTTTGCTTAGCATTTCTAAGGATTTGGAAATATGGCTGTTTTTGTTTAGTAAGTTATTATCTAGTATGTACAAATGAATAAATGCATATGAAATCTATTATTCACTTTAATATTCAAATGTAGGTTCCAGGAATAATAACTTGTCATTTTCTATATGCACGATCTCCTAGTTCTACACCCAGCCTGTGAGTCAGGTGCTTGTAGGCAGGTGCAGTCTGTTTACACCACTGCAGGAGGCACTCAAAACGAGTGCCACCACAGCCTGGAGAGGAAGTCAAGGGAAACCTGGTTTCTCTGAGGTTTCCTGGGTCATGGAGCAGCATGCCGCTTGGCTATGCTGCACCCATGTGACCCCTGGTGGCTATCTTGGGGTCAGCAGGGCTTTTAAGAAGTCCATGTGTCCAGGTTTCGGATTGCTTTTGTGAAGTGGGTAGAGTTTGGAGAGATACTCCATTTGTCAGGGAATGCAGCTTGAGACAGGGATAGGTTCTTGAGGAGTAGGGACAGGTTAGGGATTTGCAATCTTCAAGGAAGCCTTCCCTCTTTGGGGCCGAACCAGCCAGGCTGTGCTTCTGCCGCTGAAAGAGATGCTGTCAGTGCATCTCTCCCCTCTGTATCTGTTCATTTGATCTGATATCTGAGTGTTTTCCCTGGTGGCACTATCCTGCCTTGGGTGTTTGTAGTTTGGCATGCTCTTCAATAGAAGTTCCACGTTTTAGTGCAACTGGACTCTGTGTCTTTACTGCTGTCGCACCATGCTGCCCCTCCCAACATGCCTACTTTATCAGGTCATATTTCATTTTCAGGTGAAACTCGAAAATTAGAATATCGTGCAAAAGTTCATTTATTTCAGTAATGCAACTTAAAAGGTGAAACTAATATATGAGATAGACTCATTACATGCAAAGCAAGATAGTTCAAGCCGTGATTTCTCATAATTGTGATGATTATAGCTTACAGCTCATGAAAACCCCAAATTCACAATCTCAGAAAATTAGAATCTTACATGCAATCAATAAAACAAGGATTGTACATAGAACAATATCGGACCTCTGAAAAGTATAAGCATGCATATGTACTCAGTACTTGGTTTGGGCCCCTTTTGCAGCAATTACTGCCTCAATGCGGCGTGGCATGGAAGCTATCAGCCTGTGGCACTGCTGAGGTGTTATGGAACACCAGGATGCTTCAATAGCAGCCTTCAGCTCTTCTACATTGTTCGGTCTCATGTCTCTCATCTTTGTCTTGGCAATGACCCATAGATTCTCTATGGGGTTTAGGTCAGGTGAGTTTGCTGGCCAATCAAGCACAGTAATCCCACGGTCATTGAACCAGGTTTTGGTGCTTTTGGCAGTGTGGGCAGGTGCCAAGTCCTGCTGGAAAATGAAGTCAGCATTCCCATTAAGCTTGTCTGTGGAAGGAAGCATGAAGTGCTCCAAAATCTCCTGGTAGATGGCTGCGTTGCCCCTGGACTTAATGAAGCACAGTGGACCAACACCAGCAGATGACATGGCTCCCCAAATCAACACAGACTGTGAAAACTTCACTCTGGACTTCAAGCATCTTGCTGTGTGTGCCTCTCCATTCTTCCTCCATACTCTGGGTCCTTGGTTTTCAAATGAGATGCAAAAGTTGCTCTCATCAGAAAAGAGGACTTTAGACCACTGAGCAACAGACCAGGTCTGTTTTTCTTTAGCCCAGGTAAGACGCTTCTGACGTTGTTTGTTATTCAGCAGCAGCTTGACAAGAGGAATACGACATTTGAAGCCCATGTCCAGTATCCTTCTGTGTGAGGTGGCTCTTGATGCACTGACTCCAGTCTCAGTCCACTCCTTGTCAAAATCCCCAACACTTTTGAATGGCCTTTTCCTGACAATCCTCTCCAGGCTGCGGTCATCCCTGCTGCTTGCGCACCTTTTTCTTCCACACTTTTCCCTTCCACATAACGTTCTATTAATGTGCTTTGATATAGCACTTTGGGAACATCCAACTTCTTTTGCAATTACCTTTTGAGGCTTTCCCTCCTTATGGAGGGTGTCAATGATGGTTTTCTGCACAGCTGTCAGGTCAGCAGTCTTTCCCATGATTGTGATTCCTACTGAACCAGACTGAGAGACCATTTAAAGGCTCAGGAACCCTTTGCAGGTGTTATGGCTTAATTAGCTGATTAGACTGGGACACTTTGAGCCGAGAATATTGAACCTCTTCACAATATTCTAATTTTCTGAGATTGTGGATTTGGGGTTTTCATGAGCTGTAAGCCATAATCATCACAATTATGAAATCACGGCTTGAACTATCTTGCTTTGCATGTAATGAGTCTATCTCATATATTAGTTTTTTACCTTTTAAGTTGCATTACTGAAATAAATGAACTTTTGCACGATATTCTAATTTTTTGAGTTTCACCTGTACATGCTTAATTTACAGTCATATGTACCATGGCTACATTACCTCTTCTTACCAGTTCTCTTTTTCACATCAGAGTTTGGCTAGTACACACTTTTTCTTACACGCGATTGGGTATTCTTTGCAAAATGAAACTTCACTGCCTTCTCTAATCTCTGGGAAAAATTTCCTTGCAATCAAGCCTTTAGTAAATGAACCCCACTGCATCTCGGCAACATACGTAAGGAACGAGTGTAGAGTCAGCCACCATATCTCCTACAGGATGCCAGTTCTACTTCACTGTAACTTGTGATATACAGTATGTTTAAAGCTGTCTATGCAAGTACCTGAGAGTATGAATGTTAAAATATAAGTTTATGTTTAGAGCATGTTACACATTACACCTGTATTTAGGGTGTAACATGCTCCAAGCCCCCCACCCAAGCACATCCCCCTTTCCTGTGACAGCGGGCAGGGGTTCCACTCCCTGTACCCCGCTATCACATTTCAGAATCCATACAGCCCATATAGAGGTATGGGTAGAAAGTTGTAGGACCCATTGATCACAGGTGCAATGCTTTGCAGGCTCTTTGGGGGGAAAAAATTATTGCAGTTAAATACATGCATGCATTACATTTTCCCTAAAGGAGACTTAGGCTTTAAGTGACATTCTTATAAAAAAAAGCAAAGTTGTAACATAGATTACTATGTTAAAGAGCTTATGCATGTGACTTTTTAAAGCGATCAATGTCACAAACCCAATAGCTTGTGTATTTATTTCTGGATTGTAACACTTTTTGGGTGGTGTCATTTGACAACCTAGAGACATCTGGTGGTTAAATGAGGTAATGCAAAAAAAAACAAACTACTGAGCTGTCTTTTCAAGTAAGTTAAAAATTGTATGCAATCCTTAATGTTGCTAATAATTTAACTACAACTACTTAATAGCTTTTCCTTCTGCTCTTAATGTATTGCTGTCATTAGCTGTTTGGCTTTCTGTGACATGACTAACAAAAATATTGATACAGTAATTTTTTTCTACATATTTAAAAAACGCGCTCTGTTCTGTGAATAAATGAATTACCAGTCCTGACAGCCTTAGCGCTTTGATAGTTCATTAAACCTTCCTGTCAGTATATTTGCTTGCTCGTACGTATGGTAAAAAAATAAATATAGTGACAGGTCTACCGGAGACCTGCATGACACCAGCGATTTTCTGATCGCTGGTGCAATGCTTTCCAGGCTCCTGCAACCAAAAATAATAAATGCACATTTTTTTCACCTGCAGAAAAATGTGCATTTATGATTTTTTGTCAAAAGGTGAACTTACCCTTCAAACTGCAGCTTACCAGATGAGGTGACTGTTTTTGTTTTTATTTTGGGCTTTCTTTTTTATATGTTCACCTGGCGATCTAGCCTTTAACTCACTTTTACTGTTGTTTTTGCAACAGAACAAGCTGGCCTGCAGATGTAGCAGTTAGAGAGATTAGACAAACCATTTAACACTGACAGGGGTGCTTACAATGACTAGATTTTATTTATATAAATTCTTCATCCTTCAGGAATAAAGAAAAAAAACTGCATAAAAAGTATTTGTTGGGTGTTGGCTTCAATTTGTTTAGTATATTCAAATCTGCCAGTACAGCTAACCTCCCTAGACTGACAATACCTATTTTGCAACAGCATGTCCTGACAGTTTAGCATTGCATGGTGAGCAGGAAAGACTAATGATGCACTATATTGCCAAAAGTAGTGGGCCGTTTGCCTTAACACACACATGAACTTTAATGGCATCCCAGTCTTAGTCCGTAGGGTTCAATATTGAGTTGTCACACCATTTGTAGCTAAAACACCTTCAACTCTTCTGGGAAGGCTGTCCACAAGGTTTAGGAGTGTCTATGGGAATGTTTGACCATTCTTCCAGAAGCACATTTGTGAGGTCAGGCACTGATGTCGGACGATAAGGCCTGGCTCGGAGTCTCTGCTCTAATTCATTCAAAAGGTGTTCTTTCGGGTTGAGGTCAGGACTCTGTGCAAGCCAGTCAAGTTCCTGCAACCCAAACTTTCTCATCCATGTCTTTATGGACCTTGCTTTGTGCACTGGTGTGCAGTCTTGTTGGAACAGAAAGGGGCCATCCCCAAACTGATCCCACAAAGTTGGGAGCATGGAATTGTCCAAAATGTCTTAGTATGGTGACACCTTAAGATTTCCCTTCACTGGAACTAAGGGGCCAAGCTCAACCCCTGCAAAACAATTATACACCATAATCCTCCCTCTACAAAACTTTGCACTTGGCACAATGCAGTCAGGCAAGTACAGTTCTCCTGGCAACCACCAAACCCAGACACGTCCATCGGATTGCCAGACAGAGAAGCGTGATTGTCACTCCAGAGAATACATCTCCATTGCTCTAGAGTCCAGTGGTGGCGTGCTTTACACCACTGCATTTGACACTTTCCATTGCACTTGGTGATATAAGGCTTGGTTGCAAGTTCTTGGCCATGGAAACCCATTCAATGAAGTGCTCTACACACTGTTGTGCTAATCTGAAGGCCACACAAAGTTTGGAGGTCTTTAGCTATTGACTCAGTTGGTGACTTCTGCGCACTGTGCGCGTCAGCATGCGCTGACCCCGCTCTGTCATTTTACGTGGCTTCCACTTTGTTATGATACCACTAGCAATTGACTGTGGAATATTTTAGTAGCAAGGAAATGTCACAGATAGACTTATTGCACAGGTGGCAACCTATCACAGTACCATGCTTGAATTCACTGAGCTCCTGAGAGCGACCCATTCTTTCACAAATGTTTGTAGAAGCAGTCTGCATGTTTAGGTGGTTGATTTTATACACCTGTAACCATGGAGGTGATTGGAACACCTGAATCCAATGATTTGGAGGTGTGTCTCAATATTTTTGGCAATATAATGTGCATACAGTACATCCTGACCTGTAGCGACATCTGTGGGCACTTGATGGGTAGTGATGGGCAACCCTTTTCCTCTGCAATGGTTCAACGTTGGAGCAGGGGAGTTGTGGTCCCGATTCAGGTATCACACTTCCTCCGGCTTTCAATTTCTGGCCCTCCAGTCTCTCGGTACACAGTCCCGTTAGCAGGTCCACACTGTGTGAGCGGGGAGTCAGGTCACTTGGCAGCAGCTGGTTCATTGGCTCTCTACAGTGCCTGCACCTGACCCAGGCTTCAATCAGGGAAGTCTTCTTCCTACATTATGGACAGATTAGGCAAAGTCCCTCCATCCTTCCGGCCAGCCCAAGGCAGAAACATCTGCAATGTCCCAGGCAGACAACCATGTCAATGAAGGTGATCTCTGGTATGGACAATTCTGGATACACTGAAAATGCACTATCCATCTTGCTCCACTCACACTCTCTCTCCACGTGGTGGGTGTACAGGGAGGTTTTTAGGGAAGGCATCTGGCGTGAACTTGGGCGCTCTGGTGGGCGTGGCCACACCCCTTCTCGTGACTTGTTGGTGTCAGCCAGTCTGCTGAGCAGGAATCTTCTAGCGTTAGCGATAACCCCTGAGGTACCAGGCAGGAGCAGACTGACTGATTTTACAGGAACTGTAGCAGTGGTAATTCTCAGCAGTTGCCACGGACATCAGCGGGGTACAAAGCACACCCAATATGTTTGTAGAAATAAAGCCTCTGAGCCCAACCAATACAGTGCAGCTGGACATTTGTAATCCACTGAATTGCAGGTCTTTCTGGTTGCTTCAGGAAATGACCCGCATGACTGATTATAGCAGACAATATTGAGCTTGGCAGAACATAGTCTTGTAGTGTAGCCACCTGTTGAGCAGCTGAAAGACATTTGCAACTTGGAGAGTCGTCCCTGCATGGGAACACTTTTTTCTCTGGCTCATTCGTTGCTAGAGGTAATGGCAGGCAGGTTACTATAGGTGAATCCCAGACGAGCCCCCACATGTAGCACTACCACCTTAGGAGTTGCTAGAAGATTTGGGTCTCCCAAAATGTCTTGCACAGCCAAGCAATCTGCATTCTCCACACAAGCTTGCATTCGAAGTCAGAACTCAGACCTTGAGCTTTTATTTTGTTGTTTGAGGGGATTAAGAACTGGATAGGGTAAGGGGGGTATAGGATACCCAAGGGAACCGGCAACTGAGGACAAACTTCCTAGAACAATTCACAAGCTTCTCTTCTGCAACACAGTATCTGTTGGAGAGTTAGCCAGCATCTCCTTGATGCACTACCCCAGACCCTAGATGAAATTCTTCTCTTCACCCAGCAATCTGGAAGCTTTCCTGAGCAGGGAATCTGGTTCCTGTCCTTTTTAAATGGGTGAACAGTCACTAGTAGGGGGCTAATATAGTTTTCCACCAGAGTGCTCCTTTGTCTATCCACCCAGGGGTGCACTTGCATTCACTCAGATCCTCTCCTGTACTGCTTGTGGGTTGGCTGCTGTTACCAGGCCTATCAGCTGGGCTGCTCCTTCTCTGCCATACAGGTAGTCCTTGCTCAAGGGGCCAGTGATTTCCAAGTTTTCCTCCTTTCCAGCTCCAAGCTTGCAGGCAGGTACCATCCCACTAAGCCTCCTGGCAGCCTCCTTTGTCACAGCCTCACATCTTCCTCCTGACTCCCCACTCCACACGCCTGTTACTGAGCAGGCTCCAACACTTTTAAGGGAGTCCCATCCACTTGCAAAGCATTCAATTGGGGATTGGCTGAAGTCCCTCGAGCGTGCAGCCAGCCACCCCTCAGATCCACCCACTGCCTCTAAGGCCTTCCTCCAAAAGCCTCAGAGCAGGGGGAAATTCCAGAGGGGTTGGCCTGCAGATCCTCTCAATCCTAACCCCTCTGGCTATTACACCTGAGCAGCTACTCCTGTCTAACCATTAGGATCTAGATCTTCCTAGCTAAACTAGGAGGGTGCTACAAAAAATATCTTTATTATATTTCTTTATATAATTTAATCAAATACTTTGGAAGTACTATCTTATATTATTTAAAATGAAAACAGAATCTGTCTTTTTTTGAAAAGAAAAAAATTAGTTCCCTCTTTTTTGTTTTCGCAGAAGCAATAGAATCACTAGGTAGGAAAAATGACAATGAAGAAGTAGGAATAGAATTGGCCTTTACAGTATTTAAAATAGGAATATCAATGTATTTGGACAACGTAGCAGTCAGGCTTGTGCCATAGTAGTTGATCAGGGGCGGTGATGGAGTGACAGAAATATAGTAAAGTACCAGAGAGAACTGCTGTGGGTGGCTGCCCTGATGATGATAGATATATATTAGGTAGCAAATACATGGAAACCCCTCAGAACCAGCAGACATTTAAGATTGTGTGAAGCATAACAATTAGCATTGGCAGAAGATGATGTAGTCTGGGAACTGGGAAATGATAATGGAAAGGCATGTAATGTTGGCTAGTGTGCTGATCACATAGAACAAGACAATGCAGTCACTTCCTAGATATGGGTCAGACTTCAAATATACAGCTTGGAAGTGCCAAAAAATTGATTAAGATGCTATCTGGTAATGTGCAAAAAAGACACTGCCCAGAATCAACATCTTTCCAAATAGAAGGATATCAGCAATTCCAGGGAATTATCTGTCTGAGAAACAAAATGATCAGAATGAATGCTAAGAAGAAAATTAGCACTAGTCAACAGGTGGGCGGTGTCCATTCAGGACCCATAATCTCAGGTTTGACCTTCCAACTATGTTAGAATTGCTAATAATTTAGGCTTTTTATGTGCCATCCCCTCACTATAAATGGGTTGCTATCCTTAGAGCCGGTCCACAAAACTCTGCAGTTGAGACTTCCCCTTACTTTCTGTCCCTGTGACCCCACTAGAAGGAGTCTTGCTCTCATTTCCTGTCCTTATGACCCCACCGGAGGGAGACTTCGCCTCACTTCCTGTCCCTTTGACCCCACAGGAGGGTGTAGGAATGGACTTGCCAATAATGGTGGGACTCGCCTGCCTTGTGGGCTGCAGTACCAGGGCTGGCCAGCAGGTGCTCTCAGCAATCAGAGACTCAACCCTGCAGTCAGCCAAACACCTGAGGCTGATTGCAGGTGTATTTAAGGGATGGCCAGACCTGCAGTCTGTGCCTTGGTGTGTGTTTTTCCATGGGCCCCTGTATCTTGTTACCTGCATTCCTGTTTCTGTTCCTGTTCCTGCCTGACTGACTCGTTGCCGACCCTGCCTGATCCTGACCTCTGCTGACTTCTCCTGTTTGATCCCTGGCTTGTGACCCCTGTGTCAGTTCACATACCTCTGGTCATACCCGAAGCCCTGACAGAGGGAGTCTTCCCCCTCACTTCCTGTTTTTGTGACCTCACTGGAGGGAGACTTCCCCTCACTTCCTGTTTCTGTGACCCCACCAGAGGGAGACTTCCCCTTACTTCCTGCTCTGTGACCTCACTGGAAGGGGACTTCCCCTCACTTCCTGCATCTTTGACTGCACTGGTGGGAGATTTTCCCTCACTTCCTGTCCCTATGACACCATAGAGGGTGACTTCCTGTTTCTGTGACCCCCACTGGAGGGAAACTTCACCTCACATCCTGACCCTGGCACAGTAACAGCCATAAAAACATTGTCAGAGGTTCAACACCTTCCTTACTATACTATAAATGTCAACTCCTGTAGTATGGCTACAGTCTCTGATCAATTCTTTTATCTTCTGTCGTGGCTGGAGGGGGAGAGATCACATGTGAAGAGAGCAGCTACAGCCAGTAACAGAAAACCTAGAGGAGAGAGAATTCAATATAAAGTAGACTACATAAAATGAACTAGACATGTTGCACATGCATGCTTTACATTTATAAGATTGTCATCTAACTGTGCTGTTGGGTGGTGCTGAGCAGTGTGGCTGGAGAATGAGGGGGCGTGATTTACATTGAGGTGAGCGAGTACACATTCAACATATACAGACCTAGTGTACCCGCCCACATTCACAGCAATTCCCAGAGGTTGATAGAAGGTGTAGTTTCCTGAGAGGAGAGGAGATGATGCAATCCCTTCTGTTATACCTTCTCCTTGGCAGAGCAGATGCTGTTATCTTTTGAATTACAGTGAAGACTTCCTGAAAATTCAGTTAGACTTTTCTCTTCAATGGTAAGTAATTTCACAAATGTATTAACTGTTTAGTGTAGGGGGGTGTACTAATGGGTGATTTTTTTGCCTATCCTGGAGCCCTTCTTTAAGCAAATGCTTGAATCTCTGAAGAATTCCTTTTACATCCACCCGCCATCTCCAGCAGCATTCTTCTCAAGAAAGGTGTCTCTTTTGGAGTGGAAGAAAAAATGGCCCCAAATCACCCATAGGCCTAGTGTTCTAATGCCACCTTTTTAAAACTCCTGGATTTGCAGTTGCTCCCAATCCAGCTCATGCAATCTTCCAAGAGTTTATGGCCTGTGCTACACCACAGTGGCAGGTGACAAGTGGCTAGCCACCTTTAATTTGTCCAGGAAGCCATCCCTGCTCTCAACCAGTATGTGGAACACAAAGGAGTTGATTTACTAGAGGCAAGTAGGTTTTCCACTTTGTCAGGGTATTTTCCCTTAGCTCAGTGAATGATGACATCCATCTGCTGACATCCATCCTTCAATTATGTGCAATCAAAATGACTGTTATTTCCATTTTCCTTGTAAGTGATTTGGTGTTCTTTGCAAAGTGAATTTTCACCACATTCAGTAAGCTAAGGGAACATTCTCTTTAAAGGTGAACAGCCTATTTGCCTGTAGTAAATCAATCTCAATGTTTCTGTGTCACTTTACCATGTTGTCAGTGACAAGTTACACATGGCCATGGGCACGTGATCCAGTAGACATGAGCAGCAATTCT